GGGATCTGACACCCTCTTCTGGCCTCTGCAGGCATTGCAAGACAGGTGCACTTACACACATGTAGGCAATATACTCATACACATAAAATAGAAATAACATCAAAAAATAAATGTTTATTTGCTCTCTCAACCTCTAGCCATGGATTGGACACTGCTGGTTGAAAGGGGAACACAAGAGAACAGAGCATCCACTTGGTACCTGTTTTCTGAGCAAAACAATCCTTTGTGTTTTAAGAATGTTCTCTTACAGCTGGTTATGGTAGTGCATGCCTTTAATCCCAGCACTTGGGAGGCAGAGGCAGGTAGATATTTGGGAGTTTGAGGCCAGTCTGGTCTACACAGAGAGTTTTAGGACAGCTGGGGCTACAGGAAACCATCTCAAAAAACCAGAGGGGAAAAAAAGAATGTTTTATTAGTTTATAATAGATGGATGATAAAGCAAAATACATTGCATACTAAACTGAAGGTGGGGAGATTCAAGTGTGGATTCAGATTTACACCCACACCATGAAGCAGCATGACTCACACTTAGTGGGGAGATCGGGTGGCCACAAGAGTACTTATGTGAAGCCACAGCCAGGGAGGGGAGCTTTTCCTCTGCAAACTCAGCTCCTGGTATTCCCAGCTCACCTTCTTCCCAGCTCCTGGTATCCCCAGACCACAGGATTCTCAGCTCACTTTATCCTCCCAGCTCAAAGTATTCCTGACTCACTGTATTCCCAGTTCAAGGTTCCAGTTCATGGCATCCCCATCTCCTCAATATCTCGGCTGATGTGAGGCATTCTCAACTCACCATATTCTGGAGTTATTCACGAACTGCAGACTTCCTGGTGCGTGGTATTCCCAACTCACCTTATTCTCAAGTCACGATGTTCCCAGCTCATGATATTCCCCTGTCACAGTATTCTAAGGTCCTGGTATTCTGAGCTGCTGGTATTCTCCTGTCACCTAATTCTCCACTCATGATGCTCTCAGGTCAAGGTAATCACGGCTCATAGAATTCCCAACTCACCTTATTCTCAGTTTATGATGTTCCTAGTTCAAGGTACTCCAAGCTCCTGGTATTCCCATGATCCAGGATTCTGAGATCTGGTGTTCCCAGCGCATGATATTCCTAATTCATGGCATCCCTACTTCTAAACAATCTCAGCTCCTGGTATTCCTATCTCATGCAATTCCTAGCTCAAGGCATTCGCAGCTCATGGTATTACTAGCACATGTCATTCACAACACATGGTATTCCTAACCCACCTTGTTCTCTGCTCAGGATACTCTTAACTCGTGGTTATTTCCAGCTCCAGGTATTCCAAGCTCCACGTATTCCCAATTCCAGTGTTCTCAGCTCCTGGTGTTCCCATCTTATGTATTCCCAGCTCATGACATTCCCAGGTCACAGCATTCCCAGCTCACAGCTTTCCCAGCTCACGGCTTTCCCAGCTCATGATGTTCTCAGGTCACTGCATTTCCGACTCTCCTTATCCATATCTCACAGCACTCAGATACAATGGTATTCCAGCTCACAGGCTTCCCAGCTCCTGGTCCACATGTCACCTAATTACCTGCTCACAATGCTCCAGGCCAAGATAATCAGAGGCATGAATTCCCAAGTCACCTTATTCACAGCTCATTGTATTCCTGGCTCTGGGAGTTTCCAGCTCCTGCTGCGTCCAACTCCTCATGCACCCAGCTCCTGGTAGTCTCATCTCCCACTATTCCCAGCTAAGGGCATTCTGATCTCTTTGTATTCAAAACTCACAGTATTCCTAGCTCCGGACAACTCAGCTGATGTTAAGTATTCTCAGCTCACCATGTTCCCAACCCATGCTATTCCTAACTCGCCTTATTTATAGTTCATGACATTCCTATCTCGTGATTTTCCTAATCCCAGTATTCCTCGATCATGGCATTCCCAGCTCCCAATATTTCCAGCTCACATTCCCAGGTCCTGGTATTTCCAGCTCTGATGCTGCCAGTCCTGGTTTTCCCATGTCCTGCTATTCCCGTCTTGCAATATTCCTGCCTTTTGGTATTCTACTCTCCTGGTATTCCCAGCTCATGATACCCCCGGCTCCAGGTATTTATTCCCAACCCACCTTACTCTCAACTCACGATGTTCCCAGCTCCTGGTATTCTGAACTCCTGGCATTCCGACCTCTCTGTATTCTAACCTCTCAGCATTCCCAGCCCCCAGATATCTCAGCTGATGCTAAGTATTCCCAGCTCACCTTATTCTCAGCTCAGGGTGTTCCCAGTGCCAGCGTAGGGTGTTCCCAGCTGGCCATATTACCAACTCTCCTTATCTGCAACTCGTGATAGTCTCAGTTCATGCTATTCCTGCTCCTGGCATTCCTGGATCCCAGTATTCTGAACTGGAATACCAGTTCACGATATTCCCTGCTCACAGCATTTCCAGCTCACTATATTCCCAGTTCCTGGTATTCTGAGCTCTTGTTATTCACAGCTCAAAGTATCCCTGAGCTCTGGTATTCAAAGTTTAAAATATTCATAGCTCATGGCATTCCCAGCTCTTGGTATTTCCAGCTCACAATATTCCCAGATCCTGGTTATCCCATCCCAAGGTATTCCCAGCTCATAATATACCCAGTTCATTGTATTTTCTCACGGTATTCCCAACTCACTATATTCTTGACTCGTAATGTTCTCATCTCATGATATTCCTAGCTCCTGGTATTCCCTGATCAAATCATTCCCAGGTGTGCTGAACTCCTGGTATTCCCATCACTTGCTAGTCTAAGCTCACGGTATTCCCAGGTTCTGGTTATCTCTAGCTGATGTTAAGTATTCCCAACTCCCCTTATTCTTAGCTCACCTGTTCCCAGATCAGAGTATTCCCGACTCACCTTAAGTGCAGCTCGTGTTGTTTCTACCTAACGGAATTCCCAGCTCATGATATTTCTGTTCTTGGTATGCCCAGATCCCAGTATTCTGAGCTCCTAGTGTCTTCAGCTCCTGGGTGTTTGAGCTCAGAGTATCTCCAGCTCCTGCTACACCCAGCTAATGGCATTCCCAGCTCATCACAATCCTAGAACATGGCATTCCAGCTCTCAGTATTCAGAGCTCCTGGTGTTCCCAGCACAGAGTATCTCCAGCTCCTGGTGTTCCCAGTTCATGACAATCCTAGAACATGGCATTTCCAGCTCTCAGTATTCAGAGCTCCTGGTGTTCCCAGCACAGAGTATCTCCAGCTCCTGGTGTTCCCAGTTCATGACAATCCTAGAACATGGCATTTCCAGCTCTCAGTATTCAGAGCTCCTGGTATTATCAGGTCAAGCTTCTTATGACTCGTGGTATTCCCAGATCCTAGTATTCCTACATCCTGTTCTTTCCAGCTGTTGATGATCCTATCTCATGACACTCCTAGCTCCCAAGATTTCCAGCTCCCAGTATTCCCAGCTCCTGGTAATCCTATCTTTTGGTATTCTAAGCTCATGACATTCCTAGCTCATGCTGTTTCCAGATAATAATGTTCCCTGCACATGGTGTTCTCAGTGCATGGAATTCCCAACTCACCTTAGTCTCAGGAAATTTTCTGCTCAAGGTATTTCCAGCTCATTATTCTCTCTGATGCTGTCATTTCTAGCTCACGATGTTTCTAGCTCCTGGTATTCCCAGCTCCTCCTATTCATAGCTGCTGGTATTTTCAAAGTATTCCCAGCTCATAACATTCCCAGGTCATGACATTCCCAGTTCATGGTTTTTCCCAGGTCTGATTCCTGGTTCATAATATTCCCAGCTCACTGGGTTCTCAGCTCATGGCATTTCCAGCTCATGATGTTCCCAGTCATGTCATTCCCAGCTCTGGTTTTCCCAGCTCACATTAGGGATTTCTAACACCTTATTCTCAGCTCACAATGTTCCCAACCCACTGCATTTCAAACTCTTCTTATCCACATCTCATGGCACTCAGATCTAATGGTATTCCAGCGCATGGGCTTCCCAGCTCCTGGTCTGCATATCACCTAATTCTCTGCTCATGACACTCCAGGTCAAGATAATCACATCGATGAATTTCCAACTTGCGTTATTCACAGCTCATTGTGTAGGACCCTGAGACCCTCTTCATTCACCGGCTACCCCACAATCCCTCCAGACCTCCACTAATTGCTCTTTTAGCTTCTGTAAAATGCTTGGCTGCTGCTTTAGACATGCCTAGACATACCCTGGCATGCCCTGACCCCTGCCTGCTATTCCCCACCCTCCTTCCAGGAAACTATAGATTAAGCAAGCCCGGGCATGAAAACTGCCCAATACAGTAAAAACGGAGACTCCTGGCCCCACAGATAACAGCATATTCCACAGCCCT